CGGCGGAAGGCCAACTGTATCAATCGCGCACGGGGTGGCCGATCGCGCGTTTCCACGTCGTCGTCGACGACACATAATCAAGCGAGCGTGTCGGGCACGCATTTTGCAAGACTTTGCGACATTAAATTGCAATCTAATCATCGGCCCGATAACAATTTGGCAGCTAACGTGTCATTAAGAGTTGCTTATATCCGGATGGACGCGCACGTCCTTGACCATCTCTTCGCGGAAGGATGAACAACGCGGGAAAAGGATCTCACCGACAACAGAGACGGATCTCCGACGCTTCCGGGAATAATATCGGGGCACATCCGGTGTTATTCAACGTTATATATTTTTATAGCATGCCTGAGAGTATGTATGTGTGTGTGTGTGTGTGTATATGTGTGTATGTGCGGTTAGACAATGTCAGCGAGACATTGTATTACGCTATTTCGTTATCTAATTATTTTTTCCACACTAGAGGAATTTAAAATCCTAAAAATCTAAATATTAAAAAGTTACACGAATCTTAAACTTAAGAAGAATCACTTGAAAATTTATTTGTGAGATAAAAGTTTATTTCGCAGAAATAAACTTAATTTTACAGAAATAAACTTTAAATATCACAAATAATTTTTCAAATATTTTTTTTCATTATGGGTAAATTTTACTCAACATTTTTGTCCATAGCTCCTAGAAAAATGATTTAAATAAAATGTTTTTTTTTCAAGTAGTTGAGAAATGTAGTTCTATACTAAAAAAAAAATAGCTAAAAATACCTAAAAATTTATTTGTGAAATATATAATTTATTTCACAGAAATAAACTACACTCTTCACACAAATTTTATATATTCCGCAAAATTTTATATATTCCGCAAAATTTAAATTTAAATAAAAAATATAAATTTTCAAATATTTTGAGAATTTAAGTAGTTAAAAAAAAATGTTTTTTTCAAAATTCAATATTTTCTAGTTGATTTGGGCAAATTTTACCCATATTTACGATTCTAAGGTAAATTAATAGTGACAAATTTTGTACTGGTTGAATTCGTAGATAGACTGTAATTGCAACGATGAATATAGTTATTACTTCATCGGCTCAACAGCAGAGAATCATTAAACTGTATGCGACGATCCCTTCGCTTTATCAATATTTATTGTGATATTTTTGTTCCGTGAGAAACAGAAAATATTGCATACTCTAATATCAAGATTGACTCGGTGGCAATCGCCTTATCAATTCTCTTTATGCTAACCGACGTCTCTGGACTTTTTGCCGCTTCATGGATAAACGGAAAACTCGCGTGAAACGATAGGCCTCGTGATAATTATCTCGCGGCACATTGTGAAAAGAAAAATACGGGGTTTTTTCCAGCATAAACTAGTCTCTCGAGTCGCTGTATGCCGAAGGATACGCGCGCTCACGGCGTTGACGCAACGCAATCCTCCAGAAACTTACCGACTTTTAATAAGTATGGTTCACGCTACGTACAGCGGCGTTACGCAATCGCCGCATCCTGTCGGATGTACGCTATTTCGCAATCATAAGCAGAGCAATGGTTACAGGTGGATCCCGAAATGGAGACGGAGAGGGAGCGCGCAAGCTGATGTTCCGCTGATCACGTCTATCAAACTGTGTTTCGTAATGTTGCAGAGTATATACAGAGTCGCGAGTATATCTCCTGGCTCTCTCAATTTTCGCGCATCGCTACCACGAGTCCTCGCCGATGAGACACACTCACAACCGGAAATCGCCGACGAAACGAGCGGAAGTCGCCGGCGACGCACCGTGAAAACAACTTTAAATTGATCGTTTTCGCCGTCTTTGGGAGATAACATTCGATGACGAGTGACTCTGCGAAATGAACGATCCGATAACGTCGGCAGCAACATACAATCGAGACTAACGCGACAATAATCGAATCATTTAGCCGTGGATAAAGGACATGAGTCAACTTTTCTGCACAATGTCAGAACAATCGATTCGGTCTCTTATTCTAGAATATAATATCGTGTTAATTTTGAAAAGAAAACTTGAAAAGGTAAATTATTTTTCAGGCCAAAAAAGTAAAAAGATTCGAAAATTTATTTACAGAAAACTACTAACGAATATGCTTGAAAAAAGTAAAAAGATTCGAAAATTTATTTACAGAAAACTACTAACGAATATGCTTGAAAAAAGTAAAAAGATTCGAAAATTTATTTACAGAAAACTACTAATGAATATGCTTGAATGTTATACTTTTAGCAAATTCCGATTAACTCAATTATCGATTAATTCCGTTGTAACCAGCAAACAGTTATTGGTCAATTCTGCTAGTTTATAACGGAATTAACAGAATTATTTATATATCTTTAATTTACCCATTAATAGTTATACTTTTATAAAAAAAATAACTTAAGACTTCATATGTCACAAAATGGAGCTTATGAGAACGGTTGCTCTCTTTTGTTTAAATAAGCAAATATTATATACTTATAATAATACGTAATAATTATACGTGTAAAACTCAAACATTCATTTAGTATTTGTTTTTAAATAAGTTACCAAATATTGTTGCTCTTTTTGGCCTGATAAAAACACAATTTTATCAAAAAATAATTTAAGATTTCGAATGCCACAAGATGGGCTTAAAGAACTGTTCCTTTACATCTATATTTAAAAGCTTAGAAATATCGGAAAAGTGTGCGGAAAGATTTCTACATATGTGTGATTAAATATGTAAAACAAAGCAACACACATTTACGTAAAATTCGTAAACATGTACAAAAAGTACGAGAAGGATAACGTGATAGTAACAATCGCCTCTACATTATCGACATTTTTCGTATTCGTCATCGACTTTAGCATCCTCTCGACGGCTGAAGCAATATCTAAATCGCATTTTTCCGCGGTGACTCAAAAAACAGAATATCTAATGATAAACAAAAGTTCTTTCATCACTTTCTTCCACTTTGGAAGAGACTTGTTTTCATTACAAGCATTCTCTTTAAAATAACAGATCCACTTATTAGCGATATTTTCGCGCGGGACAATCTTTCTTCCTTTATCTTTCGAATATTCTCGCGGTAGGAGTCAACGACACGCACGAGAGACACCAAAATAACAAACCGCGCGCTTATCAAATCTTTAAGTGAGGGATCACTGCTCTATATCGGGAGCAGACGGTCGAAAACACGATGCGATTGCTCACCGTTGCCATATATCCGTAAAGCGACTGCGAGTACGATGACAGCTTGAGCTGCGCAATTCATAGCTGCGAAATCGCGGATAAAATATATCATTGTCAGCGATTGTACGCGCGGCGATAAGGCAGAGCTCGGTACGAGCGGCAGAGCTTCTTTTGTTACATCCCGCCCGTGTCACCTTTCATGCGGTGCATAATTGCGGGTACGCTCTACCTTTGTAATTAGGCTTTATTGTTAGTCCGACGCGCAATTACCAGTTTCTCTGTAGCGGGCCGCATCCTATTCGCGTAGATCGGTGACGTGGTAGACACTAATGAAACAAAGTGTTTGTCCCAACCTCGTGGGAGAGCACCGAGGAAACATCTGCCTGCTACTTCACGTTTACTCGCATTGAAAATAGCCCGACGCTTGCATCCGCACTGAGGGAAATTATCCGATAAAAAATTAACAAATTTTCGATCAAAATGCCAATAAATTTTTGTATCCGTTTAAACTGGATACTTCTGACCATAATAGCATTTTATCCGATAAACCGATGAAAAAATTATGAACCGATATTTCTCATGGAATATTTCCTGATCTGAATTCTGAACCGGCTTTAGCGAGAACTGAATTAGAAGCTACCATTTTTCGTAATTTGTAACTCTTCGAGATAACGGATATTTTAGCAATTAATTAAAATTCCGACGAGTTTTGCGGTAAATTTCCAGTAAAGTCGGGATCTCATTATACATTTTCAGCTTTTGCAGCTTCAAAAGACGTCAAAAAATTCGATCCTGATTTATAACGTTAAATAATGCCTTATAGCTTAATTTGAATTTTTGCCGAGAGGCAGTCGTCTCAAGACACTTCTTCAATTCTATCTTTTCGTTTGTACCATGTATATTTATGACTTTTAACGGTCCCAGGCAACACAAATATATTCACAAGATCCTAAAGACATTCTAAGAACGTTCAACGTCCTGAGAACCTCTCTAGAACATCCTCTAAAGATCTTGTGCTGTCTGGGATGCTAGTAATTAAAAGAATGAGAAAAGGATGATTCGCGCGGCCTTGTATCCATTTACAAGTGCACGGGCGGCAATTGCTCTCAAAGCGATCTCTCTAATCAACGTTCTCATCGACGACGAGCGGTGGACTGCGATCTACGAAACATCGACGCTCCAATATCACTGTGAAGACTTACGATATTAGCGGAGCAAATCGACGGTATCTCCGCCGGCTTGCATGAATATGCAAATCCGAGCGATTAACATACGACGCGTTATCTCAATTTGCCGGCGTCATGCCGAAAAAAAAGTAGGCAACCAGGTTCGCCAGCCTCTTGCTACTCTCTAGTGTCCTTGCCTGGCTGACGCGCAAATCTGTGACGGAATTTCCGTCGCAAGATATTACGACGATGACGACGACGACGACATTAAAAGTCGGCCAACACGCACACGGAAAAAACAATTCTGTTGGTGCAACCGAATTTTCGGTTGCTCAGGGATCAAACGAAAACTCGGCTGTAGGAACAGAAAAATTCTTTTATGAGGCTTCTGTATAGTCAATTGTTCTCAATTGCCTCAACCGAGTTCTAATATCATTGAATGTTCAGACGAATATTTTCGGTTGCGACAACAGAAATATTAGTTTTTATAACAGAGATATCGCTTCTGATCACCTAATTTTCAGTTGGTTCCTATTAGGATTCCTATTTGGTTGCGTCAACTGAAATGTTTTTTGCGTGCACGCGTCAAAAACAGAAAAGAGGGAGTAAAAAAAAGGAGCCAAGTCACTCTCTCAAAAGTGTGATTTTGGGGCGACGAGACTGAAATGTGGCACTCACCTGGAGAGCGGATCGACGAAGAGCGCGACGATGATCACCGCGACGATGATGCAGGTGAGGTAGATCGCGGAGATCTCGTAGATCTCCGACTCCGGCGGCCGTTCCAGGTTCTCGTGGCCTCCGTTGCCGAGGATGCAGAAATCAGCGCCGCACAACTTGATCTTGTCCCAGCTGTCCGTGCTGTTGCTGCTGCTGCCGCCACTTCCGCCGCCGTGACCGCCGTCGCTCAGCACTGCACAATTTGAAAGTGATCTTTCAGGCACGATGTTTGCGCTTTCACTGTCGAACTTCCTCGAATTTACACCCACTTGACGAACGCGACGATTCGCGACGATCCGCTAAGTTCTATTTCTGTTTGTTGACCTTTGCTTTACGTAAAATATTATTCAAAGGATACTACATTGAGGAAAAAAAACAATTGTTTGTGGGATATAAAGTTTGTTTGCAGAAATAAACTTTACATTTCACAGATCAATTTTCAATGATTTTCCCTTCGACTATACGTAGTAAGCGAATCGAATATTTTTTATTAAAATATTAGACTTCCTAAAATCCAGAATTTTGAATAAATTTGATGCTTTAAGATGTAAATTTCTGGTAAATTTGCAGATGTATAAACTTATGAAATACTTGAAACATTTAGTTGAATGCAGTATGTATCTTTCTGTATGATGTAAAAGACTACTGCCAATTTCATGAAGTAAGGACAATTCGAGCATTATATTCCGTCAGATGCGCAAAACTGCACGATCGGAGCGTCTAGTATTTGAACGAGCGAATAACTTAGGAAACTACTTACGTAAAACTTTACAATGATAACTCAAGGAATGAACAACGATTTATCACCAAGTCGATTATATCAGCTCGCTATGCGCGCAAACAAATCACAAAAGAAGAATCGTCAGGTGAAGGTGTACAAGCGGGAAGTCAAGAGATTGACCTATTACGCCGTACCGGAAACGTATTAGCTCCTCTCGATCGTCGCTCGAGAGCTAGGACACGAGGAAAAGAACGAGACTCGCGCGTGACTGTACGAGCGAGCTCAAAGTCCTCATAAATCAGTATTTCATGAGCGGATTTCACCGTTGTCGAGACTCTTCCCTGATCGCCTGGAGTATTCGCGTCTTGATTCTCGTCGCAAATTCCATAATTCGAACATTACACAGTTAGTGATATTACTTTCATGTGATTGGAGGAAATTACTCGCGAAGAGTACAGTCCCTCATTTATAATAGAAAATATACTGTCGTTGTAAGGTAACTGCCAATTCAGTCGTGAAAGTTCATTATTTGTCATTATTTGATAAATTATTAATCACTTACACGAACATAAAAATTATAATAAAATTGTAAGCAACTACTCTCAAAGTACATGTGGTAAAAGTATCAATTCCTGGATACGTGCAAAAAACTGGATTTTCTTATTGTATTAGTCTTTAAATGCTAATATTTAAATTCTCTCTCTCTCTCTCTCTCTCTCTCTCTCTCTCTATATATATATATATATATATATATATATATATATATATATATATATATATATATATATATATATACGTATGTGTATATATATGTGTGTGTAATACACTCCCCAAATATATATACAGAGTGTTAGTTAAGTATGTTGTCATACTCAACAGAGCGATTCTTTGGTTTATTTCAAGTAAAAAAGTTCATATAAACATGTGTGCTAAACGGCTTAGTTTCCGAAATAAAAAAATTTAAACGTGTAGTAATAATCTGTTTTGTTTAGAACAGCTTCCTCTAGTACTAGTATTCTAACTGTCATAGACTTTCCAAGATCAACAGTATTCCTTACAAAAAAACCCTTTTCTCGAAGATAGCGATGAATATTCGCAAATGTTTACGACATGGTAAATCACGTTTGGGATATCTTTCTGCATAAATGTGCCTTGCCTCATGTGAGTTACCATTTGCAAAACCGTAGGCAAAGTGCATATCTGCCATTTCAAAATTTGTAAATTTAGGCATGATGAAACCGATTTTGATGGACTGAAACAATTTGGCCCGAAAATGTATGCATATGCTAACCGACCCGCAGCAACATCAGAACTGAAGTCTATTTTTGATTTTATGACTTTGACTTTGACTTTGTCACTTTGTTTACAGTCGTGCGAATGGTAACTCACGTGAAGCAAGGCATATTTATGCAGGAAGATATCTCCAATGCAATTTACCGTTTCGTCAAACATTTGCGAACATTCACCTGTATTTTGTTATATGTATATATCGTGGCAGAAATGACAGAGTTATTTCGGCCCTGACAGTGAATCGCGTCGGTGGAAAAATCGACGACCCGTCGACAGAATCACTGAACCGGTCGGCGAAGTGCAGCGCGAAGACGCTCGCTCACTCGCTCGCTCGCAAATAATCGCGAGAAAGAAATTCCCCCGCAGCTGTGCAAACGCGGCCCACGCAGCTGCATGTTCGAGCCAATGAGGAAGCGCACGATGCGCGTTCGAATGTGCTCGTTTGCACGGAATCTTCTCGAACGATCTCGTTGGTATTCGCCGAGTTAAATCGGGTACGTCGACTAGGAGTCGAGCAGTCGCTACGCGCCCCGAAATGTAACAACACTCGCTGGGAACGCACATCGTTATTACAGAATACGTAACAAGCAGGTCGACGAAATAAAAAGAAGAAGGTAAAAGTACCAATGCCTGGACATGCATCTAACTCTGGACATTTTTTTTTTGTCTCGTCTTTAAGCACTGAAACTTTAAACATTGAAACTTTTAACGTAAAATATATGCATCTAAAAAAAAACTCTAGTTACAAAATGCTATTTCTTGCACCAAAAATTATTATTTTAACAAAACCTTATATATGGACTCAAGAGAATTTTTCTAAGATCAAAAGAAAATTACAAAATTATTACAAAATTATGAATATTTAAATGCTTCGCCTGAAAAGTTTTGTTATTAATATTCAACGCATATAAACTGATGCATCAATGACTTCGCAACGACTTCGATAACGTAGATTACGTTTTGTCTGTTTTTAAGACAGTCGGACGTATAGATACGTATGAAACACAGTGCAAACGTATCTATATGTTCTCTATATTAAAAGTTCAAATATTCATATTTTGAAGAGCAGAATGAATGTCCAGGATTAGGCGCGTGTCCAGACAGTGATCCTTTTATCTTGCACGTCGGCGCGAAAAATCGATCGGCTGCGCGCGCTTTACGCCAGCTAAATCGTCGACTGGAACTACTGAGACATGTGACTCGCGTCTTCTCCTGCCGCGTCCAGAGATGCTGCGCTCTAAATTTCGCACGGTTATTCGTGAAATAATTCCAACGGGAACTAATCGACAATTCCACGTGAAACTTATCGTCATTCTGGAATTTACGTCGACTAATCCGTACGCTTGACGCCGCCAAGCCGGCCAGAACTTTCACCGTACCGGCGCTAATAATATTATGCCGCGTTTACGATCTTCTCTACTTATCGTCTCCGCGCTTGTCGGCGAAGTCCGCTTTTTTAACGGAGCACGCACGAGGATCATTCGCGCGGAAATTATTCAATCGAGTCACTTGATTGAAAGGTAAAGTATCGATGGAAAAAAACGCGCGAAGGATATCACGGAACGGCCGTTTCAGTAAGGTTACGAAAGGTTATGAAGACAGCCTTGAGAACGAAGAGAACGATGACGAATGTTCTGTATTTTCGTCAGTGGAAAAATGATCGTGTAATGGAGAGTGTCCAACCGCGAGCACGTGTTGACGGAGAATGGAAAGCGCGGGACGTATGTAAGCGTGTCAGCGGCCACATAAAAACGTCGTGCCGCACGTGCATGCATGATTGCTGAGATTAATTTTAATGATGGATCTTTTTAGCGGTGTCTTGCTCGTTTCCAGTTAATAAACTCGAGGTGAATGGTTAAGAGACAATAGAACATTCTACTAATTGCCTTTTAGGCAATTAGGGTCCCGTGTAAAAATTCCCTAAATATTCCCAACATGGATTCCAATCAGATTACCCAAACTTGTTCGTATCATATTGCGATATTGGGAATTCTATTCTTATCCAACTGTAGAAAATTTTCTAATCAGAATTTCTCTCGATTTGTCAAATAATTGAAGTTACGATTCCAATTGGGAAATCCAAAGCCAGAGGAAAAGTTGCGCAAAAAGAGTGAAAGGAAGAGAGGACACAGAATAACAATATAATAATCCCGTAGTTTCCCGAACAAAATCTCCTGCAATAAAAAACCAATTCCCAAATAAAAACCAATTCCCAAATAAAACCAATTCCGTTTAAAAGTGTGTCGTTAAAATTAAAAAGATCACGGGTTCAGGGTCGCGATGTATAACTGTAATTTCCTGTATAATTAAAATCATTAAAATGTTAATTCGTTCGTAACTTGCGGCGAAAATAAACTGGACCTCGTACGAGACGATTATCTCGTTATATAAATACGATCGGTGCGCGCTATATATTTAATCAGCTTCTCTGCCATAATCGATGTCATAACATGAAAAAAAATTCGTACTTGCGCGCACAAGTGTTACCGAATCGTTTCGCAGCGGTCTCGGCGATTTCCAGGAAATATTCAGTTCTATCTGTCCACGGCTCGTAGCCTTCGTACCGTGCCATTCATCGCTGTAATATTGCATACACACTGACCTCAACAAGGACTCCAAACAATCTTGACCTTTGTCGCGTATTTGCGAATATTACCGGCGCCAATGACACCGATTTTTCTCCACTCATGCGTGAGAATTTAAGAAAAGAACCAGCTTCTAACCACCGCGCCTCGTACCATCCATATTCATCCAATAATACTCTCGGAAGTATGAATAAATCCATTGCTGTCGTGATTACATTAAATGATAAACATCAGTGTCGTTTAATATCGTGTGCAATGTTTTTTCTACATTGCTTCATCCTCGAGTTATTACTTATCTAAGTCGTTTATATTAAGGCCGAATCTGCAATAGGCATGGCAAGGCCTTCAGCTTTTTGCTTTAAACCTACTATAAAATTCATAAAATTATGATGTAATTTTCGGGTAAATGAGTTTCTGACTGCTATCTGAAGTCGTAATTCCTAAGCGTTAAGAGAACTGGCCATATGCCAGCTATAATGTCAACTTGTTTAGGTATCGCAGAAAACGCTTTACGCTAGAAATTATAGGCAAAAGGTTAAAGATTTACACTACACCTATTGTAGATCCGGTCTTATGCGCAAACCAGGTGACGTGTCTCTATACGTGCAGTGCGATGCAATTTCATGAATCCGCGATCAAGTACTACACGTAAGAAGAAAGGAGGTGCAACGCGAAAAAGTTCAGACGAACGCGTGACGTCATAACTTCGTGTCTAAATAATCGGCGTATGACCTCGCTGGAAATTAATTGTCTACAGGTGCTTAAGTATGACGTACAGATACGACGTGGGGCTTAGCCACGTGTCGTTGTAATAATCGGCAGAGATCGTTTCTCTGTTACCGGATCTCGCGGGATTACGATCTGCCCGAAATAGCGTCAGGTCGAACACATTCGAGGCGCGGCGCGTTCGACCGACGAAGAAATCGAAGAAACGTTTCTTCGCACACGTAACAAGACCCGACACACAATGATATCTTGTGAAACGCGCGAGCGCACGCGTGGAGGCGCACGCGGTATCGGGGAATGCGTACGAGGTAGTACGGAAACCGACCACCGCGGGTTTATACCGGATAAATCTCGTTTCTTCTCCCGAGTGCGAGACGCTGCTCCCGCCGTCCCTCTCTCTTTCACGGCCTCTCTCGCTCGACGAGTTCCTCACCGGCTACGTTGTCCCTCGCACACGGTGCGTGCACAAGGTGTGTGACGGTGCAAGGATATGCGCGCCAGTAGTAAAATCGAGCGTTCGGTCAGACTGTCGTCCGACCGTAAGGTCTGTTTCTACTAGTACCGGCGCACGACGCGAAACCAAAATTAATTTGCCTGATCGTACACTGGGAAAGAAACACTCGACAATTTATTTGTGGCATATAAAGTCTACTTCCGCGAAATATTTTATTCCACAAATATATTTTCAAGAATTTCTTTCTTAGTGTATACAGAAAAAAAAGTTTGGTTGGATTAACCAAATTTCTGGGGAAGAGTATGAACGAATCAGAAATTTCGGTTGAAGTTAATAAAATTCTGCTCAACTAGACTCCTTAATTTGAACAAAACTTTCTCCGTGTATATGTGGAGAGAATTTTATCGTGAATTACTGTAGAATTTTGTAACCGAAGGATAAATCAACATTCTGCTGTTTATATTTCACTGAGATGTGCTATTCAAAGGTTTGCTAATGTTTTTAACAAAATTTATTACACTGACAAAAAAATATTTGAAAATTTATTCGTGGAATATAAAATCCATTTCTATGAAAGAAAGTTTATTTTTGTGAATAAACTTTGTATTCCACAAAAAATTGTCAAATTTTTTGTCAGTATATACTTAGAAAAAAATATCTGAAAAATTTTGTACTTTTACTTTCTCTTCAAAATATCTTTAGTTTATAAGTTTTAGAGTTTATCATTAAAATTTAAAGAGGAGTTTCAGGAAAATTTTTATCTTCACATACGACATTTCAAAGTCGTGTAAAATACAAAAATTATTTTCTTGCAGAAAATATAATCGAATTATTCTAAAACGGCAGTGGAATTCAATATTAAATAAGATGAAGATGTCGATATAAAATTCTATTTCGTAATTAACGATCCATTTTTGGTCGCGGGAACCATTTACGGCATGCGTGAGGTAATCTAAGCTGATAAGCCAGATGATACGTACAATTGTGCACACATTCTGCCGCGGGCATGTTTGCGCGGTAATTAACGGATATATTGTAAGCACAACACCATCGCCAATTGAATATGAAAAGCAGACGCAGATAGTATTGAGATACATGTTATTGAGATGTTTAGAATGTCTCTATTACGCATTCGCAAGTGACAACAAGGAGAGCTGCTTTTGCGTGTATGCACGTTTAGCATGACGTGTCAAAGCGCATAAGAACGACTCTCAATTATTATCGGTGTATGAAAATTGGTTATTCTTGTTCGCAGGTATTAACTCGGGAAGCGTCAACAGTGTAATTAGACTTGATAACAACTGTTAATTATGTACACGTAAATATATGACGCGGGCGCTAAAAGTCACAAATCAGTTGGAGAATTTTAATAGTATACATCGATTTTACTGCCGTGTATGCGCTTGTCTTTACCGTTTAATCATAGTTTCATTCATTATTACACACGTTATCAGGCTGATAATCGTTGCTTCATTTTCAAGGTATCGAGACTAACGCGAGTCGAAATTTTAATTCTTCTTTGGATCTCAATATTCCACTTAACACCTACTTCGATACTCTGAAACTTATATTAACCTCTTTTGATCTTGTTTAACCTACTATTAAATTTGAATTTCGGTTCCCATATGTATTAACTTCTTAAGTGTCCGGAAAAGTTCCGTGGTAAAATATTAAATCTCTTTTGATTTACTTAACTATTGTATTTTTTTAAACTCATAGCAAGTACAGATGAAAGTTAGATTTATTTTTCCATTTTCCAAAATTCTTCAAAGAAAAAGTAGCAACGAAGAAAAAAGAAATCTAGATATGTTTATTAAAAAAAAAATATGCACGTGTTGGAAAGAATCGCGTTTGAGATCACAATTGAAAAGAAACTGAACCTACAATGACCCTTCACAAATGTTGAGAAAGTTTAGGTCGAAAGTAGGTCTAAAATTTCGACTCCAGATATGTCAGAACTTTAAAGGGAACTGTTCACTTACCAAGCGAGGAGATGAGGTTGCCCCAGAGCTCGGCCGTCTGCCACGCCAAGAAGAAGAACCCGAAGAACCGTACGACGATGGCGTCGACCGGCTGGTCGGTGATCTTGGCGTAGACGCCACCGACTTGTGTGAGATACGTGGCCTTGGCGGCCCACATAGGCGCGGCGCCGAGACCCAAGAGAACGCCGGCCGGCACCAGGGTGTAGAACTTGGGATAGAATTGAGAGCCGATATACGGCGCGTAGCACAGCATGGACACGCAGAGGGTCCACTTGACGGTTAGCCTCTTGATGAGGAAGGTCGGCACGAAGATGCAGGAAAGCACCAGGGCGGCGTAAATTGCCGAAAGCGAGACCGTGCCGAGGCCGTCGCTGGCGTTGATCGATGACTGGAGGTTCGCCGTACCCTGGAACGCGGTGAACTGCACCATGAAGGCGATCGACACGGTGCCGATGTTCTTCAGGATACGCCACTTTTCGCCGCGCGACAGCTTGAACTTCCGTGACTGCGTGTCGTCGTCCGCGGCCGGCAGCTGCGGCGGCTTTTGCGGCTCCGGCGGTATGCCGTCGGTGCCGTCGTCCTTGTAACCCTCATTTCTGTAACCGACCCCGCTCACGGTCACCGTGTAAACCGTGTCGTCGCCACCGCCGCCGCCGCCGCCGCCGCCGCCGCCGCCGCCGCCGCCGCCGCCACCACCGCCCATGCTTCTGCCACCGTCGTTTTGTGAAGCAACCATTTTACGTGTCGGCTACCTGGACATACAAGGGGAAATACGCTTGTTATTTTCGTGCCTTTCGAGTCGATCGTTCTTCGTGACTACCGTTGACTATTATTACGTGAAAAACATCTGATTAATTATGAATATATATTTAACACTGAGGATTTCGTGGAAAATTCCATTAAGCAATACACACGCCGGGAAACATATCAACGTTCTAATGTTATGAAACAACCTATACATCAACGATATTTTGATGGAAAGTGCAACCAGTTGAAGAACAAGTCGCAGCGTTTTGTCGACGACGATTGATGGCGAATTAATCATCGACATTTACGTGGTAATTGATGACGTTCTTGTTGCGCGGGGAATTTTATTAACACGCGGTGTATCAAAAACTATTCATCAAGCAAAATAGCTTCCTCTTCTGCTACTTTTCCTTCGGCACAGGTAAAAATCGTCAAGTGTCTTTTTATGCGCATGAGTTATCAGTACTGTTAACCCACACGCTGAAGACTCTTAATAAAAACATTCTTACGTGAGTGCCTGTAATTAACGAGCATTCACGTTCTCAAATGAGAGTTTCGTCACCGTTCTCGAATAAGACACATTAGATTGCGTCAAGCCATTCGCGTGTATATAGACGTACGCACGCATCAATGCGATTCCGCGCTTGCCGCACACATGTTATTCCCTTCGCGGAGATATTGCGATCGTTTCCTGTGCCGCCTCTTTATCAGATCGCCATTTCTCGCTTCTGCACATCCCGCGTCTATACTTAAGATTTACCCATTCAACATTACAATATTATTAAGGTTGCATTCCAAAACGTCATTTCCGAGGAAAATTTTACTCTTAAATCTATAGTTCATGTTATATACACTATAGATTTAAGAGTGAAATTTTCCTCGGAAATGACGTTTTGGAATGCAACCTAAATAGAGGCGAGGAAACAGAAAGAGAAAGAGAGGAAGAAAAAGAGAGAAGATAACAAATGAAGATAATATAGACGAAGCGAGGAGATAGAAAATATGAAAATATAAAATAAATAACATACCATGAATGAGTTATTTTTACACAAAATTTAGAATGGACTTTGTGGGACATGTAAAAAAAACGTTAAAATTAACGTTTTATTTTTTATTGTGTAGAAGCAACACGTGGCGGATCACTTCAAATATTATCGCGCGGTATACGGGAGATGTGCGCCGTTGGAGATTCTATTTTTCCGTATTTACGACTTTCTCGGAGGCACCGCTGCGCAAACAAGAATCGCGTCCGGCGTCTCTGCGAGCGCGCTGAACACGGTGTGACAAACGGCAACCTTTCGAGAGAACGGCAAGGCTGCGTAATCCTCAGAGAGGGACTACGGCGAGGCGCGGGCGCCGTACGTGTGTGTATACGCACGAGTGGATACGAAAATATTAATCAGCCGCCAGGCGCGTATGTTAATTGCGAGGGGATTGCCGCGAGTCCGCCAAGTGACGAACGATCTTTCGCTCTAGGAACGAGAAAGATCGAGTAATTACGCGCGCACCGTTCCTTACGAGGAAGCACAAAAGAGAAGGGGCTAGCCCTTTCGAGAAAGAGTGAGGGAGGAATGGGACCGAGAAAAATGGGCCCGGCTGTATGATTTGTATCGTCGGAATCTAAGCTTACGAAAATTATAGCGGTATAAACGTAGCCACGCTCGCGATCCGCTGCTATGTTCGCGAGATAAATTAGTGTTCCCGCTGAGCGTCCACCGCGAGCGAAATCAAATAGAGAAATCTATATGCTTATATTAATCGCGCAGCTTGCGGCACTGCTTGATCTACGGCTGCGTTTTGAGCTCCGCAAATCTCGGCAGGTGACACGATTCGAGCGTAGAAAGTACAAATAAAACAAGAGACAAGGAAGGCGGATACACGCGCGAGCGCGTGTTGCTGTGAGAGCCTTGTCTAATCTAAAGGATTCTCTTCTCTCTCTCTCTCTCTCTCTCTCTCTCTCTCTCTCTCTCTCTCT